TGACCAGTGTGCCTTCGTAATTATTATTACCGAGTATGTTTTTAGCATTATGAAATTTGCACAGATAAGTCTACATCTAACAAGTAAACCACTTATCATACATTTTAAATATAGCTAAGGATCCTTTTTTTTATGTCCTTTTAAATACTGTGAGCACTCAGGATGCTGATTATTGCTGGTCCTTTAAAATATCATACAGTGAGGTTTATATAGATAGATATAGATACAGCTCTCTTGCGCTCTCGCTCTCTCTCTCTCTCTCTCTCTCTCTCTGTCTCTCTCTCTCTATATATATATATATATGCACACCTATATAGATATTTATAGATGGAGATCTATCTATATCTATCTATCTATCTATCGAGAGAGAGAGAGATTGATCTCTGGAAAATAAATTAGGCTTAAATCACTGGAGCTGTGGAAACTCAAGAACGTGCTCACGTCCTCCTCTCAATGGTACCTGTTTTACCGCTTTCAGAGGGCTGCAAAATCAGGTTAGAATTAATAAATAATACATAAAAGCTGTAAACAGACATCACATTTGACCCAGTCCTGATTGTCTCAAGTTTTGACCCAGATTAAACAAGAATGACAGTGGTTTACACACATAGCCCTTGCAAGGTCCAGTGCTTCTCTTCCACCTGTAGGTGACCAATGAAAGCACCCAGCTGGGCCAGGTTATTAGGGGATGACCCTCAAAAACTTTACAGGTGCACCCCATGACATTTCACATACTTTGTCAGGACTCAGGGTGGGACACTCGTCTTGTAACATCTATAGGGTCATCATGAGACAAAATGCTTTTTCTCGAGACAAATACAGCATCTCTTTGCAACTTCAGATGCTTTCTTCTCTTCAAACACACACATGCACACAAACTTTAATGCAAAGAAATTTCTCCTCCTGTTATCTAAAAATAGATGAAGAGACATTTTTACCCAGCATCCTCAGCACCATAATGAAGAAATGACCCAGTTCTGAAAACTGCTGTAAAGTTTCCAGCCTACATAGGAAATGTCACAAGTTAAATGGAAATTTCAATGCTTTGGGGATTATCATGTAAACTCTCATGGACATACTGTTACTAAATCCTTAAGAGTTGTGTGGTTATAACAAACGGCTGGAGTTGTGGCAGGAGACATGTAGACAAATGGTAAGCTGATTGTTTGGGATATTGAGAGGAAAATAGGGGTATCGGTATATTTGAGAAAAGGCGTATTAGTTTAACGTAGGGGAATCCTGCGTTTAACGTAGGGAAATCCTGCTGACCCAAGTATTTCATAGGATAAGATTTATGGTTGCATTGACAACACTGATCAAATTCTACAAAATGGGTAATAGCAAAAAGGCATCGGCAAGATGAGCAACAAATTCAGCTAACAGGCCGGGAAGCCATGAGAGAAATGGTAGTGGGATGTGAGCCTCCTCTTTTCCTTGGGAGTGACGGTTCCTGTAGTTCAAGGGTCTGTTTTCTCATTTTCAGCAGACAGAGCTGCTGGGAATACAATGGAATATTGTGTTTTTGGAGGCAATTACAATACAAGCCCTTTGCCATACCCTTTTCTTTTAATGCTTTTTTCTTCCTTTATTTTCATTCCTTTGCACCGAGATAAAATTAATGCATCAAAGAGAACAGCCCATGAAGTAAGATGGGGATTGCAGGATTGCTCGGAAGTGTTCCTAGCAGTGAACAAAGACAAATGGCCAAATTATTGCTCCTTAAGAGATGGAGCTCTACTGGTGACGGGGATGAAGCATGGTATCAGAGCACGGGGTTAGGGTAGTGTTCAGATAAATTCATTGTTTGACCTGCGAGCAAGGAAACCTCAAAGGGAATGAGGGAGGAGGCATGTCTGTCCTACAGACCCTTTCTCTCCTGAAGTGTGTGGAGCCAACTGGTTTAGCAAAAATGTTGGAGGAAGAGGAAAACCAGTGAAGCCAGCCAGGAGATGAGACTATTGAGAACTGCTGTAGTCTGTATTTGAAAGGGTTTGGTGAAGTCACCAAAGGAAGGGTAAAATTGTTCATCTGCCCGTCCTTATGTGGTGAATGCTTTGTAGATGCTTCTGCAAGATGATGAGGTTGCAAGCCCTCTTTTGTTGGGGATAGACCTTATCATGTATTCATTGGAGATGAAAGGGAGTCTTCAAATAATCTTCAAATGGGTTTTTAGAGTCCCTGCAGAGTTTCTGTGCATCTTGTTATGTGTAAATGGTAAGCCAGTGATTTGCTGTCATGCAGACTGCCACTAATGACTTCTGCATGTCAGAGCATTAGCATTTATAAGTCATGTTTGTCTTTCATTCTTTATTCCCAAAAAGTCTTCGGTTATTTCATCACTGAGGCAAAGTTTCACTGGACTCACTTTTTTTGCTACTGTGCTTTGCCAATGCCGACACTAGGGAGAAACTGCAAATAGTGGATAATGCCATTACCTAGTGCAGGCAGTGACTAATGTATGATCCTTAAAAAGGTGAGAGGCATGACAAGTGTTTAAAACTTGGGATGTCTGTCTGAATACCCTTTATTCATCAGAAACCCTGACACTTAAGCAGTGTCGTTGTTTCTTTCTATACTCGCTGTGAAGTGCGGTACAAGGTTATGGTAGGATACACAATAGATCTTCTGCTTCATTGATATCTTTTGGATGATCCAGACTCATGTCTGTTCTGTGCTCATCATTTATGATTAGAGATGGTGGGAAAATGTTCATGAATGCAGTGTTAATTTGAAAATATTAATTCAATAAAATTGTTCTTCGTGGAAAGCTGATTTCAGTAGGAATTAGTGTGGGGAAACATTTGTTTAAAAAAGAAATCAAAACAGTCATTCGTAGTGTTGACATGTATTTTTCTACTTTGTATTTATTTTGCATTATTTCATGGTGCCTCTGCAGTTGTAGTGCATAATATTCTCGGTGCCTACTCAAATGTCATCCGTGACATGAAGGCTGAATAGTTTATTTTAATTCTGTCTTAAAATCGGTAAGGGTTGTACTTTGTACTGCTTGAGTAGTGTATTCCTAGAGAAACACATCTTCTGTTTGTAGTGTAATGATAGAGTTTGACACCAAGTGTCAAAGTATCAAACTGGTGTAATAAGGCACAAAACTTCGAGTCAGTACCAGCCTCTTCCCTTAAAAGTTTAAATCAAATTTTGTAGGGGTGGTGATGTTGCAGCCATGATGCCCCAGGGATATGAGAGAAGAAATAAAGTGATGACTTTTGTCAGACCAGTTTGTTTAGTTGGCGGAAACAAGAGGCCAGCTTTCAGGCTTCAATCCTCTTTGAAAAATAAAATTTTGAGTTCCCTAAACCAGATGTTAAAATTCTGAAATAGAATTTGTATAAAACCTGGATTTTCTGTTTCATGAGTTGTTTTTTTTTAATATGGCTTACAATGTCAACATTTCTCATAAAGCAGACATTTTGAGTTCTATGTGCACAGTATGAAGCATTTATCTGAATGCCTGTTGTTCTACATTTATATAAATCGTGTTGTTTTGACATCCAGAAGGCATCTCTGTTGGTTTCCATGAGAACAAATCCTTGATTTCTATTTTATTTTCAACTTATAATAATTTTTAAAGGCAGGCCTTTTAAAATGTTGGGAGGTAGTTCAGAAACACTCGTGTTTATCTTCTGTAAAGAGGAGACAACATAGATTGCAATAATAGTTAAATAATGTCAACATAATTCCAAATAGTGTCTTCGTGATGCGTAGGTGGATTGATTTGCAAACATATAAATCCTTTGGTACTTTTTGATAAGCAGGAAAGTACACAATATACTCTTACAGCTATTCAAATACCTTTACAGGTAAACATGCACTTAATTCAGATTCTGAACATTTACATCGTTATGTCCAGGCAATCAGGACTCGTAGTAGAGATGACATCTTTTATTAGACCAAGATTTTTTCAAAAACATTTTCTTAATTTAAAAAAAAAATCATCTTTGTGTCAGAAAGAGACATTCATTATTTTTGATATTATAGGATAATGTTTTTGTTTTCTCAGGATTTGTGCCAACTTGCATTTGAAAGGGGATTAGAAGTCAATTAAAAATGTGCAGAACCAGCAGTTTTAACTTTCTGGTTTGAAATTTAATTTAAATTTAATTTGAAATTGAATGTTAAATGCATCTAATATGTTAAATAAAACCAGCTTTTTTGGATTTGCACTTAAAGCAACTTTATTGAGCAACAGAAGTATTAACTGTAGTTACTGAAATGACAGATTGGTTTTGGTCATCATGGGACAGATTTGCAATGACCTAAGTATCTAACAACGGGATTTTCAAGGATACAAAATCGGGTTAGATACCTTAAGTGCCACTGAAATCCCTTTGAAGCCGTTTGAGCTAGAACTAGAATGACTCAGCCAACAATTAGCTTGTGACAGCATGATAGATAAGGTGATTTGAAACCACCATTTAGGTTGGGGTAATATGATACCTATTTGAATGCAATGGTTGATTGATGGTGATGCCATTTGAGTATCTCCATATAGGACTTACATCTCTATATCTATCTATCTATCTATCTATCTATCTATCTCTATATAAGAACTTATAGGAACTGTTGAATGGGGCACAAGAACTAAGATTGTTTATACATAACAGTGACTAATGTCTTGAGAAGGCTTAGAACAAAAAACAACAATCATGAAAAGGGATACGCTCCTGGTGGTGTTGGGAGTCTGATAGGGTTGAAGAAGTGGAGAAATGGAAGCATACAAAAGCTCTACGGCAGGTAAAGGAAAGAAAACTACAAGAGTCCAATGAGCTCGTCTTGGACACGTTTGGTATCCAAAATGGGATGAAAGCTGATGGAAAAAACAATTATTTGGAAGGCCATGAGTGTGATGTCTGATGGCAGTTCTTAGTTTTCTTAGGTGTTGTATCCCCTTAACTTCCAGTGAAATCAAGGAAGACTTTAACATTATTGCACCATTAAAGTTCTCCTTTGTCAAACCATCTTCTTTTCCACCTCCCACCTAGAATCGGATATAGCAGATTTCGATGGCAGGAGTTCCTTACTGTACAGATTCAATCAAAAACTGATGAGCACCTTCAAAGATGTGGTTTCCCTGAAGTTCAAGAGCATGCAGGGAGATGGAGTCCTATTCCATGGAGAAGGACAGCGTGGAGACTACATTACTCTGGAGTTGCAGAAAGGGAAACTCTCCTTACATATTAACCTGGGTAAGACCTGTTTGTGTTTTCTAATATTGTTGTGTTGAGAGTTGTATTTTATTTCTTGGCTTAGTTGCCAGTTATTTTTATTAGGGCAGTGTCTAGGAAACCCAACTGATACTGTAGTAGTTATCCAAATAGGAAAAGCCTGCTGGGACCTTTTTTAGTGTATTGCAGTATGTTTGCTTCTAGGGTTTGGTTAGAACCAGGAAAAGAAGAGACCCTATCATTGCATGCTCATGAAGGGTGCAGGCATAAGAGAAACTTTGGCTCGGTTCCTCTTTAGTGGATACCTGCTATACATCTTCATTTGGCTGGAAGAAGTATAGCATTGCCCATAAGGGGGTATTATGCGCTGCAAAGCAGATCACCAGTGTGAATGGTCTTCCTCTGTGCAGTATAGGAGCAAGAATAGAAGATAAATGGACTTTCCTTTAACTAGCAGAAGTCAAAACTTGTGGGCAGTTCTACACAGGGGCATCTATAGATAAGAGAGAGATTTCCCTAATTTTCAATCTCTCTTTCTGGCTCACTGTTTCAATTTTTGCTTGAACAACCCAGTGGTGCCAAGTAATAGTTGGGTATTCGTGGGTTTTTTTAACGCTTGCGGTTAAACAATTGTCTTTGGCAGCGTGTTGGACAATTTCACCTGTGCTGTCTCTCTCTCAGAGGAAAAAGAGGTGCCTCTAGGATGATGATCTCTTTGGTGGGATGTCAGTATGGACTTTGCCAGCTAAAAGCATGAGCACATGCCGGCTGAACAATACCCGTTAACCGAAAGCAGCAACTATAACAAACCTCCCATTCAAACCAACCATTAGAGGGGCCTAAAGACCTAGTGTGAACATGCTCTCCTGTCTGACTTCAGACTAATACAGCTAACTACCTTCTGCTTTGGGTTTTATTGTTCTAAATTTCCCATCACCACTACTCCTGAAGGTAGCAATAAGGTCAGCAGTTGTTTATTTCCCCCCGATGCATTTACTCGATAGTGCTAGAAGCTGATGGTGCCTGTTGTCCTCTGTAGCTTCCAGTTTCAGTTGGCAAAGTAGAAAGAGGGGACATATTACTAAAACTCCCTCGTGCAGACAAAGCCAGTGAGAAATGAAGCGGCATCCTCTGTTTATGTCTGTAGGCATTAGCACTCAGTCATCACTCGGGACCAACTGAAAGTACTAAAACAGAAGTTGTTAATAAGTCCTTCTGTGTTTCTCCCTTCATGCTTAATTGTGTTTGTGTGAAGTGCCAATAACAATTTTCCACAGCTCCTTGGGATTTTTTATGTAAACTTGTTTTGTATTTTAAGAGTAGAAGGGATCATCCTGCATTTCTGTTGGTTTTTATTTAAAAAGGCATTGCACATGCTAGTAGCCATTTCACGATGGAGCTGTGAATGCTGGATTCTCCGGTACCATTGGTGTCTTCTCATCCTTCAGAGGATACTCAAAATACAGACACCCAACATGTTTATACTGGTATAATCTGATTTTATGCCAGTGTAAGAGTGGAATACAACCTTATATTACTATTAATATACAGACTTAGCTTAGTGAAAGTCATTGCACTCTGTCACTGTGAAATTTCACGTTGGGAAAACGGTAGTCACCATGTAGTTTTGAGTGACATCAGTGGACGTAGTGTGTGCCCCCCAGCTCTAGTTAACTGCAGCTGACTTTTTGGGAATGACTTTTCGGGAAAATGATGACCTGTTTCTCTGCCACCTACAGTCAAGGTATTATAATGGCAGACTGCTACTCTAAGACAAGCTGATTATCTCGCAGACCCTAGTGCAGTTGACATCTGTGAACAAAATCAGTGCAAACTACGCAGGTGACCAAATCAATGCAAAAGCAATTCAAACTATACTGGTGACCAAGAATTGCCTGTCTGCACCCTCAGGTTTTTACCTTGGGATAGGGACTTGACACCATAGTTATATATTTTGTTTGATTTGTATTTGATTTTTTTTGGTGAGTAGTTACCTGATTGCTGAGTCTCAAAGATAAAATATTTCATTCAGCAATGCATCTGTGCTGCAAGATTGGAATCTGGATTTCAGCCATCACAAATTTTATGAATGTGTACGTCAGGATCAGGTGTATTTGGAGGCACAGATTTGAATTTATAGGCAGTGTAATTAATCATTTTGGAATGTGCATCGTTCCATTGCCATGGAAACTCTGAAGTATTAAGGCATGTGGCTAGTGGGGAAATAGAAGAGGATTTAGCTCTTTGAGAGCTGAGCTTGATTCTTCTATCATTGGAGTTTTTAGGTGAAGTGGGGTTACTTTACTCATGTTGGTAGCGTTAGTACAGGTATTTTCCAGTGCAGTGAAGACTGAAATCTGGCCCTATCTAAGGATCTGTTTTTGTTTAGATGCATTGGAATTACCTTGCTGAAAATACTCGTGTTCATAGCCATTGCTTGGGTTGTTGTGTTTTTACTGCAGAGGCTTAGGTCTATTTTGTTTGCCAAAATGCAAAAAGTGAGCAGTAAGAACTGAAATGTCAGGGTAATCTGCTACGCTGAAGGGCAGCAGATTGTTATGCAGTCTGGACTGAGCTGTTAAAATGTTAGGTTCTCAAATGCCCGTCCAGGCCAAGAAACAGGCTACACGGTGATTTTCCTAGCAGTGGTGTAGAGGGCAGTGCGTGCAGGATCCTGGGGCAGTCCCCTTCTTGTTCCTGATCAAGAAGTTTGCAACGCACCTTCTCCTCTCAAAAAAAATAAATAAATAAATAAAATAAAATAAAAAATGAAGTAGCTACCAAAAATCCAACCTGGGTTTTATGCTGGGTCTGGTTTATTGGGGGGTGAGTGTAAAAGGCTGTTTGGTAGCACATAAACGATGAGCACTATTGAGCCTTAAGCGCTTCCATTCAATATCCCTGGACTCATGACAGTGTCCTCTGCCTGTCTCTGCCCCTCCAGGAGATGCCAAGCTGCGTTTCAGCAACAGCCACATGTCCGTCACCCTGGGCAGCCTCCTGGACGACCAGCATTGGCACTCTGTTCTGATTGAGCGATTCAACAAGCAGGTGAACTTCACGGTAGACAAGCACACTCAGCATTTCCGAACCAAGGGGGACTCGGATCACCTGGACATCGACTATGAGGTGCGTCAGGTCTCTTGGGTTATGTCCTTGCAGGAGAGTCTGAGCTTGGGCAAACATACTTGGGCTTCCCCAGCAGCAGAAATCTCTTCCGAACATGGTTCCCCTTGCCCATAAAACTTCCCTTCATTGTTAACCAGCTCAGGTCGTATCACATCATTTACCCTGTGAGCATTGCATTAGATCCCAGCTGCAGTCTCAGCTGAGGGTACATCCACACAGCCTCCTGCCGTATCTTTTTTTTCTGCATGCACCAAATCCTGAAAATTGGGCAATATAACTGCTTTGGAGAAGTCCTGAGCAAATGGAAATAATCAGGACTAAGTCTGAGAGCAGGCTTGGATGCATGCTCATATCCAGGATTTGGCACATGCGTCTTGGCAGCTCTCCTTGGCTTGGCCCAGAGGTGTCATACAGCGTTCCAGGAAGAGGAGCGATGTTACAGCAAAATCACCTACATCAGTGGCAGATCTCCAAGGGCCAGGTCCTATTCCAGCTATTAGGCACATGAGCGGACTTATGCATCAACACGTGATTTAATTCTCTCCTGATCCAGTCCTGAAAATCTATGAGTGCATCAGTGTTTGTACATAGGCAGAAAAGGTTCCTTGGGCGAATCTGATATCTTTTATTAGACCAACCCAAATATTTGGAGAATATTTATTAAGCAAGCTTTTGGGTTCAAACAACACACTCATCTGACCCTGAAGACTGAGTCGCACACAAAAAAGCAGGGGACCCACACATCTTTTGCATGAACTATTTTTCAGGGTTTGACGCAGTGGGCAATAGTCTCACCTAGTTGACTACGGCCACTTACACACGTAAGGGGTGGGATAGAATCTGGTTCAACTCCAATGGGTAAATTATTAGTTTTCTTTGTTCCTAACAGTCTCTTTGTGCTTATGGTCCTGCTTTTAATCCACCTTGCCACTGGCTGGCAGGTCTGTAGCTGTCCCCAGCTTGAAGATAAAGGCAAGCAACCTTCTCTGTAGAGGTGGCAGGGGTATGGGACCCGCGCAGGAAA